GTGGTAGATCACTTGTGAAGCATGTGCAAGGCCCTAGGTTCCACCCCCAGCACTGCACAACAAAACAAAAACCCCAGAAGTCATGTAAATAGAACCACCCCATACCTAGAGATAGGCAGTTAGGAAGCCATTTGAGAGCTCCTAGGTGGGAAATGGCTTCTCTGGGTGGGGTGGTTGGGGGTTGGGAGCTTGAGTGTTTGTGCTGCTCTGCTGCTTGGCTGAGTGCCAGGCCCACAGAGGCAACTGCTGGCCATCTCCAGACTCCACTGAACTCCAAAACTTCCACAGCAGGCTATTCCCAAAACTAGGGTGCCCTGTGAGACCAATGTCCTCCACTGTCTGCTTACGTCTGCCTACTGTTCACTCTGAGCACTCTGGAGTGGGTTCCTACTGTAACTGCCATCTTCCATGTGAAACTGCTGGGAGCTTGGGCCAGCCATCATCTGTGGTGACTGTCTTCAGGAAAATATCTCAGACCTGTTGTTAGCTGGGCTTCTACTGCTTGTGGGACCTTCTTGCTCATTTGTACAATCGTGATGCCCAGCACGGCCACCTGAATGGTCTACTGGCTGCTCTCCGAAGACACTCTCCTGGGCAAAAGCTCTTATGTTACTGTGTCAGATGGCTTCCCTGCCTGGTCTCTCAAGGTCCAGCTCAGACAATCCCCAACCCTGGGCCAGGAGCTCCCCCAGCACAGCCCTCAGTTTTTCTACCAGTGGGACTGGAAGAAGCAGTGCTCATGTCCACAGCACTCAGTGTTGGCCTCACATGCTGCAGAAAGGGGCAGCTTATTGGGAAAGAAACAATGGGAATCCTGGCCTGCAAAACCCTCTAAGCAGGCAATGTTTGCTTATGATCAAATTTCAACAGATTGGGAGGAATCAGGGCAGACTCCACGCAATCTACTGGTGGCAGGGGACTGGTTTGCTGAGTCACAGTTGCCCCACATCCCAAGCTGTTTGTTCTTGTTCCCTTTGGGATTAACTAGAGATAGAACCTGCTTGCCTTGTTTCAGCTCAGTCCCTGCAACCGACACTCTGCTTGGCTTCAAGTCACCCAAGGGAGAGGAGAGGTAGGACCAAGGACAGTGGGGGAGTGGGGAGGGGGGTAGCTTTTCTCCTCAGAGCTGGGGGTGTCCCTGCCCTCCTTGGGGGCCTGCAAGACTCTCACTGGACTCCTTCAGAGTGAGGAATATGGGATGAACTAAAATCTAAACATGCCACATATGGGGGTGGGGACAATTAGAGAGGCAGTTGAAAGGCTGTCATCTTTGTCACCCCCTCACAATGCCCAAGGGCCATGGTAGGGACACACAGTGACTTAGGAGAAGTAGGACATGATTAAGATCTCCAGCTACCAACACCTGGTTAGGCCAGGCAAAGGGACTTGGGCTACCACCTTCCTGTGGTCACTTGAAGTTTGACCATGACCTCTTGTTTTATAAACCTAAATCACTGAAGCCCTGTGTCTTGATAGTAAGGGTTTTAGGGTGGAGGCCATCCTGTCCCTAAGGGTTGTTGGAGTCAAGGATCCAAGTAGCTTCCCAAGGTAGAGTTCTGGTCCTTGGGTGAGGCCTAGCTGGCTTTTGGCCACTAGGACAAGGGAACTTGGGGGCTGCTGAAGCAAGTTGGGGCTGAGAAACTAACAAAAAGACCTCCCTCTTATACTCTGAGGCTTGGTGAGTCACCAAGCCTTTAGGGAAATGCCAACATCACCATGACACAGCAAGAATCTTATCAGCCCAAGGGGGAAGTCAGCCCAGCAATGTCTCAAGAAGAGGGAGGGGCTAGGGTTGTCAGGTCTTCCCCTCACAAGCTGGTCATCAGGATGGATGCTGAACGCCCACTGAGCCCATGGCTGCCATGGTCCTGATGGGGAAACTGAGGCCCAGATAGCTGAGGACCTTGCAGTGAGCTTATCTGCTCATGTGGTCTCCAAGTCCTAACCTTTTCCCTTTGCCCCTGCGTGTGGGGGAAGAGTTGCTTTTCAGCCTGGCCAAGGTCCTATCAGGTTGGGGAGGTGCCCTTCCACACCCAAGGTTCCTTTCCCCACACTGGTCTTTAAGATTAAGGCTTTGTGGAGTAGGACAATAAGTACCTCTGCTTTGTTCCTTATAGGGGAGAACAACCACAGCAGGGGGAACTTTGAGTACTCCAAAGCCCATTTGGTAACTCCATGAGGCAGAGTCAGGGTGCCCCCAGGAAGGAAGCTGGGTATGTGGGTAAAGGTTGGGCAAAGCAGCTAAGGGAGCAAGAAGGGGCAGATGGTTACTTGGGCACAAATAGCCCTAGAGTGTTCCACTTGCCTGGGCTCTGCCTGGCCAGCCACTAGCCTCCTTTTGGTTCTAGATCACAGTGAGCTTGTTCCTAACTTAGGGTTTTGGGTACTTGCCCTTTTGATCTTCAGGCCTTGCTCTCAGCCTTCAGGCCCTTCTCTTGAGATCTGTGTGCTATAGAGGCTGGGGATACAAGCAACCTTTTGTGGCTTCTGTCACATGTGTCCCTCTGAACTCTTGTTTATTTATTGCTTATGGAGGCTTGGGTCCCTGGCTCCCCCATAGTACACAGGCCCCACAAGGAGGACAAGAACCATGGCTGCTGCGGTCAGGAAGAGGTACTTGACCACTACATATTGAGTGAGTGAATGGAGAACTTGCTGGTTTCGCAGAGCAGCTGGTACTGTGCCTACCTCCTGCACTGAGTGAGGTGTAAGAGCTACTCTGGGTGCTGCCTGGGCACTGGGCCCCCACTCTGCTCCAGCCCCCTCCAGGGTAAAGAGGGAGAAACAATGAGACTCTTCAGAAAATCCCTTATCCTCCCCCACTCCCGTCTGCTGGAGCCAGCACTTCTCATTTCTGCTACGGAAGTCTTTGGTTTTTACTCTCAGAGCAGAGGAGAGCAAAGGGGAACACTACTGATTGCAATGAAATAAAGTTGCCCAAACCAAGGCCAGTGAGAACTCACACAATCAGCTCAGAGGCAAAGCATGAGGTCGCATGGCACTCCTGTCAAAAGCCCTTGTTTACTAGAAGAAAAACACTAAGGTTCAGAGAAAGTCAGATACTTGTTCCAGGTTACACAACAAACTTGGATACTGTTGATGAGGTATGTAAGAGTTGAGGGCCTGGAGTTGTAATCAACTATAGTAGCCAGGGTTACGGTTGGTACATGCTTTTGACAGTATGGGATAGGGGATAGGAAAGGAGAGGAAATCATCCTCACTTACTTTTTCTTCTTCTTTGTTTTCTTTTTTTTTGTGACACTGGGGTTTTTGAAGTTAGGGGTTCATTACTTGAGCCACCCCCATCCCTTTTTGCTTTTGTTGAGATGGGGTTTTGACAACTTTTTGCCTGGGGTGGCCATGAACTGTGACCCTCCAGATCTCTGTCTCCCAAATAGCTGTGATTACAAACGTGAACCACCATGCCTGGTCCTCATTCTCAGTTACTGTCTCTTCCAGTCTGCTCCTTGAACTGAAGGCCTACGGTCGGATTCCTAGGTGTTAAGGTTTGTGGCTGCTACAGGAATGGCTCCTTTAAGGGAACCAGGCCAAGCCCGCCCCACTGTGTGCTCCAACTAGGTACCTCCCTTGGGTCTTAGGGTTATGCAGAGTCAGAGGACAGCACTTGGGATAGCCCTCCCTTTCCCTTACAGCAGCAGAGCCCTTCTTCCTTGCTCACTTCCTCATTCCTTTTCTAAGTTCTCCTTTTCCAAGTTCTGATCAGAAATACAAAGGCAGCAGGGAGCATGTTTGGCAGAGGGGGGTGGTGTTGGCATATTTTGTATGAATAAAGAACCACTGAAAGACCCAGAATGTGGAAGGTGCTGAGCCAGTGGCTAACCTGTTAAGAACTCACTAGCTCTAATGGAGCTCTTGTTCAAGACTATGCAATAAGGCTTGGCATGTGGTACCTGCCTATAATCCCAGCTACACGGTAGGAAGACAGGAGGATAGAAATTTAGGGCCAAACCTAGGCAAAAGATGTTAGTGATATCCTATGTCAAAAAACAAGCTGGGTGTGTAATCCCAGGTATGAGGGACACTTAAGCAGGAGGATCATAGTCTGAGGCTGACCCCAGGCAAAAAAATGTGAGACCCTATCTGAAAAAAAACTAAAGCAAAAATAACTAAAGCTGGTGGTGTGGTTCAAGCCCAAGGCCTTGAGTTCAAACGCCAGTACCACCAAACAAACATGTTATTGGTGAAGACAGGTCAGCAAGTCTTGGGCACATCTGTGGTTAAAAGTAATTGAGACCATATCTGTCACCAAACCTTGGCGTGAACAGTCACTCCACATGTCTTCCTGCACACAGCACAAAAGAGAAGGCAATCTAGCCTGGGCCCATGGCTCTACTAGTGGCACTGCTCCTTCTCTTGCCTTGCTGTGTACCATCAATGTGTTGTTTCTACTCTTTGGTCTTTTCTATCAGACTAAAATGGCAGTTGTGTCAGCTGCACAATTGGGGCCAGGTGCAGTGAGTCAAGGTCCTCAGGAGGCTTTAAAAGATGTGGCAAAGTGGAGGTGGTGTTCAAAGAAAGTGTATTTGTCCCCAGGGAATGTCACCCAACAGAGAGGGAGGAGGCAGAGACAGAGCCTCAGATCCTGCCTCTAAAACTGACTGTGTAACATTTGCCAAGTAAAAAAACAGGTATTTTGGAAAAATACAGAATGGACAGTATTCTCCGTATGCATCTCAGTTTTTACCATTGAGGAAGAAGAAATGCAAGTAGGGTCGCTTAGGACCTGGCAGCTCCAGGACTCTGGTCCACATCCAATGGCTGAGCACAGATTTCAGAAGTGCCTTGGAAGTCAGAAACGACTTGCAAGTCTATGTATACCAGGTGGTGCTGGGATGGTAACTGTCCACAGGTGGGAACACTGTGCCATAGAGTTCAACCTAGCAGAGTTTGTGTGCCCTCACCACAATCTGTTAGGAAAGCTGAGGTACAGAGTGGGAAGTACCTTACATATGCCACATTCAGGGCCTGGGGAGACTCACCGATGCACCCATGATGATAAATATGTGTGTATCAGTCTGGTGGAATGCATTGCCCTGGTACAGCTCTTCCCGCAGGATCCCGCACACCTGGGTCCGGCTCAGTGCCACCTGTTCTGCCATGATGCTCTCTGGTGGAAGAAAGGCTCGTTGACAAGGCAGGAGAACAGAAGAGTATTGAGAAGCTGGTCTCCTTGAGGGGGCCTTTGGGCTCTCATCCATCTGATTGATTTACCAAAAACACTAGCTGGGAACAGCCAGGAGTGGGGGTGGGGCAGGAGGATAGGTGTGTTAGAAAATGCTGCCTTTGGGCTCCAGCCATACTCTCTCTCCATGCTGCTTTTTTTTTGGAACGTACATTATAAAACTACTGAAAGCATTAATGGACTTCAGCTAGAGCATCAATCCTGGGCGGCCGGATAAAATCCAACCAGGGCATCGCACTACATGCCAAGAACCATCTCACTGTGGACTATGCCGGAAACCCCACAATGAATTTGGAGCATTTTTGATTGGAGCAGATGATGGAGTTCAGCTCCAGCTCTCCCCTTGCCAAGCCAGCAATGGGGAGATCTCGGCAAATGACCTAACCTCTCAGAGTCTCGTCCTCATGGGCCCAATGGAGAAGGTGCGGGGTACAAAGGGATGGGTTCAGACCCTCTCGATTCTGCTCCATTCCCAACCATGGCAAAGCGTGTGTCTCAAAGGGACGCCCCTCCGCCGGTGCGGCGCCCGGTTACCTGCGACTCGTCACCGCCGCCCGCCTAGTTCACAGCCCCGGAGAACACGGCTGTTTCCGGGGGCTGCGGCCCGCCGGCCCATTTAACGCGCGAGGGCGGGCGCTTAGGCTGAGCTGACCAGCCTCAGGAGAGGCGTGCGGGGCGGGGCCTCGGCCAAACCCTCGAGAGAGGGCGGGGGCAGGTGCGCGCGCAGCCCAGGCCAGGGCGGGGGTAACGCACGGTCTGTCCTGCCCCTCTGGCACCTGCACCGGCAGCTACTCCGCCCGCCGCCTACTGTCCCGGCTGCCGCTGCCCTGCAACCGCGATGCCTTGCGGGCACAGGTGCAGCTCCGTGCAGTTCTCCCTGCGTCCCCATTGCCAGTCCGGCCTCACCCCACGGTCCACTTTTCCTGCCAGCTCCCTGGCTGCCCCGCGCCCTCACGGAGGGTCCCACTTCCGCGGGCAGCTTGACTACTCCTCCCCTGCGGATTCTGGGCGGGGCCTTTTGCAGCCTCGTCTTGGTTCCTCATGTGGCTGGGGCGGGGCGGCCGAATGGCTGGATGCCGCCGCCTGAGAGACTAGGGGCAATGAAGGTGGTGACGCCCTGAGAAGCAGAGGGAGGTGCTTATGAGTGGAGAGTGTCCTGCTGGCCAGTCGGGGCTGGCCGGCTCGGGCTTGCCTCTGGAGGAGCATGCGGCCTTGCCGTGCTCGCGTACCTCTAGGCAGCATCCTGTGCTCCTGGGGTCAGGGCTTGTGTTTCACTTCCGGATTTCACGGTTACGACACCGGAAGCCGGAAGCGGGGGTTTTTCACAGCGGACCAGGGAAGGCTGACCGTCGCACCCGGCCTTTCTCCCAGCGCAGGGGCCCTAGGATCGCCTGCAGCCCGCTGCTCCCGCTGCTTCACGTCTGACCGACTCTGCTGACAGGTGTGATCTTCTCCCAGGACAGGGTTATATCGGTGACGTTCTGCTTCCTCCATGACTCTTCTGGATGTCAAGGCTTCTGTTGGGCCCCAGCCGGTTACTGTTGCATACTTCTGTAACACTGGTTCAGGAGGGCGGATTCGCGACCCAGGTTACTTGGGCAGCGAGTGGGACTGAGTCTGCCCCTCCCACCGCTGCCGCTGCCACCTCGGGGTGTGACCGTACCCCTAGTGCAAGAACTCTTCTGGTTCGCAGACAGTTAACCTTTCACCAAACTTTTTTTTTCTTTTCTTTTCCTTTTCTTTCTCCTTCCTTCCTTTCTTTCCTTATTGAGGCAAGGTCTCACTCTATTGCCTAATCTGGCCTGGAACTCTCTATGTGGCGCAGGCTGACCTCGAATTCACAATGCTCCTGCTTCAGCCTCCCAAATGCTGGGATTATAGGTATGAACCACCATCAAACTTAAGTGCACTTGAGTTCTTCGAAAAGGCTTCAAGTATAGCTTGGCAGCTAAGTGTCTTACATCATGCCCCTCAGCTCACTTTGCAAAACGATTAATATCTACAGCCTCCACCCCATTTCCGTGACCTGATAATGAATGGGCCGTCCTGTCATATTTTAGGAACAGCGAGGAGGACACTGTAGGTGCAGCAGAGAGAGCAAGGGCAGAATAGTTGGAGAGGAAGGAATGTGGACGAGATAATATAGGGCCTTGTTGGTTGTTGCAGGGACTTTGGCTTTTACACTGAGGGCAATGGTACAGAAGGTGTGTAATCTGAATTACCTTTAAGACTGATGTTCTGGCTGCAGTGAGAACAGTTGACTATAAGGGCAAGGGTAGAAGCAGAGTGTAAGGGAAGAAGTTATTGGTAGGTGAAAGACGATGGTGCTGTGAGCTTCCCCGAATACTGGAGTTTGTACTTAGGACTTTGTGCTTTCTAGGCAGGTGCTCTACCACTTAAACCACACTCTCACCACTGTTTTGCTTTTAGTTATTTTTCCAATAGGGTCTTGCAGTTTTGCTTGGGCTGGCCTTGGTCCTTGATTCTCCTACCTATAGCCTCCCTCATAGCTGGGACCACGAGTGCCATACCACCACACCCAGCTTATTTTGTTGAGATGGTGGTCTCCATAGCTTTTTGCCCAGGATGGCTTTGAACTGCTTCCTTCTGATCTACACTTCCTAAGTAGCTGGAGTAGTACAGGTATTAGCCACCACAACTGACCTGTGAACTTTTTATTATTGAAAAAACTAAAAAATGTACAAAAGTAGGGGTTGGGGCATGACTCGAGGTAGAGACTTGCTAACATGAGGGAGACTCCAGGTTCAATCCCCAGTGCCACAAAAAATGTACAAAGTACAAAGATTAGTATAGTAAATCCCATCTACCCATTTAGTTTTAACAGTTATCAACTTGTGACTAATTTTGTTTTATTTACACAATTTAGAATCTTATTATTTTCAATAACAGCTTTTTTGAGACAATTTGCATGCTGCACAATTCACCTATTCATAGCATACAATTCAATGGTTTTTAGTATATTCAAAGGGTGTGGAAACATCACCACTAATTCCAGAACATTTTCATCACCCCTCCCCTCAAAAAAACCCCTGTATCAATTAGCTGTCACCCTCACTCACCCACCTCATCTCCTAAGTAGCCTCTAAACTCCTTTGTGTCTCTGTGGATTTTCCTATTTTGGACATTTCTTACAGGTGAGATCATACAATATGTAGCTTTTTGTGACTTGTTCCTTTCTCTTAGCATAGTGTTTGGAGATTTGTTCATGTTGTAGCATGTGGCTGTACTACATTTTATTTATTCATCAGTTGATGGACATTTGGGTTGTTTCCACTGTTGTGCAGCTTTGAGTAACGCTCCTGTGCGCATTCATATGTGGACATGTGTTTTCATTTCTCTTGGGTATATTCATGGGAGTTCCCTCTTTATTTTGAAGTGAATCTCAGATATCATATATGCTTCAGTGTGCATATCTCTCAGAAAGGTCTTTAAAAAACACAACCACAGTACCATTATCACACCTAAAACAGTTAATTTTACAGAGTTTCCTGATGGATTAGTTATGAGCTGAGAGACAGACACACACACAGACAGAGACAGACAGATATGTATGTGAAGAACTCTGAAGTTTTTTTGTCCTAATAATTGGAGGATGGATTTGTCTTTAGCTGATAGTAAAGAAGGCTTTGGGTAGAACTCAGCTTTGGGGACTGTCAGGAGTTTTATATAAGTACCACGTGCTAACCAATTGTGCCACTGAAGTGCCCTGTCAGGCATTTTAGAATAGGATTTTTTTTTTAGTGCTGGGGATTAAATCCAGGGCCTGGTGTATATTAGCTAAGTACTCTATCACTGGGCTACTCTCTCAGCCCTGAGAAGTTAGTTTCCAGAAGCCTAATAGATATCCAGGTAGACATTTTGAGTTTGATATGAAAGTCTGGAGTTCAGGAAAGTTATCAGTTTTTGGCATTATCAGCATTGAGATTGGGGTTAAAGCCATGAGCCTGGATGGAATTACTACAGGAGTGAATGAATTTAGGGAAGAGGTCCCAGGGCAGAGCCTTGGGCACTCCAACATGAAAGGGTAGGAACCCAGTAAAAGGGCTGAGCAGGATTGGCCTGTGAAGTAGGACAGACACCAGGAGAGTGGGCTGTTCTGGGAGCCAAGGGAGGGAAGTATATGAAGGAAGAAGGAAGGGTCAGCTGGTTCACTAGGGATGTCAGTGGGACAGTATCAGTGGTAATAGGCAAAGCGGCCAAGTTGACTTGGTGTTAAAGTTACCTCCCCTCACCTCAGGTCTGCTTCTGCAAACTTACATTGGGGCTGGTCTCTGCCTGATAGTCTCAGGCAGGATTTAGGAGGTCTCCAGGCTGGTGCTGTCCTGCATGGTCTGCCTCTAGTTCACAAGTGAACATAAGCAGCTCAGCTGGTCTCTACTCTACTGTCTCAGGCTGACAGTCCAGCTCCCACTTTCAGATTCCTTACCATATGGCAGATACCAGAGCACCCCCCACATCCAGGGAACAGTCCTCAGGTTTATGTAGACTCCTAGAAGCCACTTTACTAAGTGTATGAGTTTCCTGTGGTTGCTGTATGGAATGGCCACAAGCTTGGTTGCTTAAAACAACAGCAATTTAATCTCACAATTCTGAAAGAAGTCTAAAATCAGGGTGAACAAGGCCACATTCCCTTTGCAGTCTCTAAGAAAGGATTTTCCCTTGTCTCTTCCTGGTGTCTCAGTTGTTCCTTGACTTGTAGTTGTATCACTCCAGTCTCTTACAACTTCCTTACCTATGTATTTCTCTGTTTTCGTCTTCCATCTCTCTCTTTCTCTCTCTCTCTCTCTCTTTCTTGAAACAGGGTCTCTCTATGCAGGCTATCCTGGAACTTGGAATGTAGCCCAGGCTGGCCTTAAACTCTCAATCCTCCTGCCATAGCCTTTGGAGTGCTGAGATTACAGATGTGTGCCATCATGGCTAGCTATCTTCTGTCTCTTATAAGGATACTTGTTATTGGTGTCAGGGCTTACCCATGTGACCCAGGATGTTCTTATCTTGAGATCTCTAATGTAACTACATCTGCAAAGACACTTCTTTTCCCCAAATAAAGTCACATTTATTAGTTCTACGAGTTAGGATATGGATATGTCATTTTTTGGGCTATCATTCAGCCCATTGCACTAAGTTTGAGGCCAGGACCTTTCACTTCTTTTTCTTGGAGGTGTGTTGAGGAGATAGGATTCCTAGTACATTGAGATTTCTTCTCCCATTAGAATGGGAGTATTTGCTGCCTCTCAGACCAAAATCCATTTTAGCATCCAGTTACACTAGATGAAGTAGCCAGCATTCTATTGTGAGTGAATGCGGGCCCAGGGCTTCTGCACAGAGTAAACTTGTCCTGTTGGGTAAGAGAATTTTGCATGATGTTGTGTGATGCCCCTGCTGCCTTTCTTCCAGACGCTGACTTGTTGGATGAGCAGGCACCTCTGGAAGAATCAGCTGTGTGAGATGGTGCAGCCCAGCAGTGGTCCGGCAGGGGACCAGGACGTGCCGGGTGAAGAGCCTTCTCTGGGGAAACCAGCCATGTTGCATCTGCCTTCAGAGCAGGGCACTCCTGAGACTCTCCAGCGGTGTCTGGAGGAGAATCAGGAGCTCCGAGGTGAGTACGTGCAGTGTGTGTATGGGTGCAGTAAAAAGTTCGGTGGTCCATTCTTGCTGAAGGGAAGGCTTACTCTCCTCGTGCACCTCTGCTTTTGCTGGGTCTGGCGTGGGCATATGCCTGAGAGCATTTCAAGCTTAGCTGTGAAGCACTTTGTTTTTTGGGGGAGGGTTCCTTTGAAGAAGACTCTGAGGTGCATGTTAGTGTGCAGGAAGTGTCTTTAGAGTGCTTTCAGAACAAGTACTGGGGAAGAGAAGGGAATGATAGGAAGGCGCAGGGATGGGTAGAGGGGGAAGTGGACTTTGAACCAGGTACTCCCAGCAGTGAGGCTTTCTGGTCTTAGCCCCATAGTACATGCCTTTTCTCCAGAGCCCAGAGTCTAGCTATGGCAGGTCCTCCCCACCCATTCTCCCCACCTCGCCCTCCCAGACAGCACAACCCCTGCTCACTATGGTTACTGGCGTCCTGAGATCAACTGAGCCAGAAGGACTATGAAATACCCTCTTCAGCCCACACTAAGCACACCATCCTTTGAGGGCAGTACAGTACAGGGTCAACTCGCAGGCTTGAGGGCCACACCTTATACCTCCCAAAGACAGGTCTGGGCTCTGCCTAGCTCCTGGAAAATCCTCTAAGCCCCTGGAAAATCCTGCCTGCTGAGAGTGTCCTGGTTTACCTGAAGCCTGGAGCCCTACCAGGTAGTCTATGCTGGTGCCACGATGCACATGGGAGCCTTGGAATGCACAGTACCAGCTGGACCTCAGAGTAGCTGGGACGTGAGCAACCTAGGTCAAGCACTCAGGCACTCCATGCCTACTGTGCCTACATGACCAAGCCCAGTAAAAAGCCTGGACACCAGAGCTCAGGTGAGCTTCCTGGCTAGTAATACTTTGTGCATGCTGCCCCACATCGTAGATGGCAGATGGAAGCTCATGCCCTGCCTTTCCTGGCCCCTGTCCCACGTACCTTGTTCCTTGGCTGACTTTAACCTGTATCCTCTCACTGTAATAAACTGTAACTGTCAATATGGTGGCTTTTCTAGAATCTGTGAATTCTCCCAGCAAATTGAGACTGAGGGTGCTCTGGGGGACCAACCAGCTCTCTGCAGAAACATTAGTGTCTCAGTGGACTTCAGGAACAGGAATCCTGGGAGGGGTTATGGTCTTCCCTGGGAAGAGGCATGGTCCCTGGGAAGGGGTGGTGCCAGCTGCTGTGTTTAAAAGAAATGAAGGGGAGTGCAGGACAGCTCTCTGGGGCAACTAAGACAGTCCTGGCAGAAGCTTCAGCTGAAGGTCTTCTGTCCTCTGGTGACTGGGAACTAGGTTCTTTTGTGGACTGTCAGCTGTGACACTGGCAAGTATTCTATCTTGGGGAGAAGCCATCTGGTATTACAAGGAGGGTACCATTATGGTGGCCTAGTTTTGGGCCTTGTACCTCATGGGTCTTAGGCTTGCATGGGCCTAGGCAGGGGGTAGTGGGCCAGACTGTCTGGCTGTCAGGACTCACCTCCACTTTGCTGTCTCCTCTACCCCCAGATGCCATCCGTCAGAGCAACCAGATGCTGCGGGAACGTTGTGAGGAGCTGTTGCATTTCCAAGTCAGCCAGAGGGAGGAGAAGGAATTTCTTATGTGCAAATTTCAGGAAGCCAGGAAGCTGGTGGAGAGACTGAGCCTGGAGAAGCTTGACCTAAAGAGGCAGAGGGAGCAGGCCCTACAGGAGGTGGAGTACCTGAAGAGATGCCAGCAGGTAGCCAGTGGGTGGAGTAGGCTCTTTCACCCTACCTGTGTTCTGAAAATCACTGGGACACTAATGTTTCTGCAGAGAGCTGGTTGGTCCCCCAGAGCACCCTCAGTCTCAATTTGCTGGGAGAATTCACAGATTCTAGAAAAGCCACCATATTGACAGTTACAGTTTATTACAGTGAGAGGATACAGGTTAAAGTCAGCCAAGGAACAAGGTACGTGGGACAGGGGCCAGGAAAGGCAGGGCATGAGCTTCCATCTGCCATCTGCGATGTGGGGCAGCATGCACAAAGTATTACTAGCCAGGAAGCTCACCTGAGCTCTGGTGTCCAGGCTTTTTACTGGGCTTGGTCATGTAGGCACAGTAGGCATGGAGTGCCTGAGTGCTTGACCTAGGTTGCTCACGTCCCAGCTACTCTGAGGTCCAGCTGGTACTGTGCATTCCAAGGCTCCCATGTGCATCGTGGCACCAGCATAGACTACCTGGTAGGGCTCCAGGCTTCAGGTAAACCAGGACACTCTCAGCAGGCAGGATTTTCCAGGGGCTTAGAGGATTTTCCAGGAGCTAGGCAGAGCCCAGACCTGTCTTTGGGAGGTATAAGGTGTGGCCCTCAAGCCGGCGAGTTGGCCCTGTACTGTACTGCCCTCAAAGGATGGTGTGCTTAGTGTGGGCCGAAGAGGGTATTTCATAGTCCTTCTGGCTCAGTTGATCTCAGGACCCCAGTAACCATAGTGAGCAGGGGTTGTGCTGTCTGGGAGGGCGAGGTGGGGAGAATGGGTGGGGAGGACCTGCCATAGCCAGGCTCTGGGCTTTGAAGAAAAGGCATGTACTATGGGGCTGAGGCCAGCATGCCTCACTGTTGGGAGTACCTGGCTCAAAGTGTTTGTTTCCCATTTGGGGAGGTACATAAGTTTGCTAGGGCTTCTAAAACACAGTGCCACATTCTGGAAGGTTAAACAACAGACATATTGCCTCCCAATTCTTGAGTCCAGTGGTCTGATATCAAGGTGTGAGCAGGGTGGGTTACTCTGTGGGTTGTGAGGGAGAACCTATTTCAGGCCCTTCTCCCAGTGTATGGTGGGTCTCAGCAATCCTTGGCACTTCTTGGGTTGGTAGCTATACCTCTTTAGTCTCTGCCTCTGTTTTCATATGATCTTCTTCTCCTTAGGGATGTGTTTCTTCTTTTTTTGTAAGGAATCAGTGTCAAATACAAACAAAAGTGTATATTTGTTGAAGCTATGAAAACAGATTTTGTTCAGTAACTAATGATAGTAGGGTAAAGAACTAAGCTCACTACCAATCTGCAGAGGTGACTAGGTGTTTTGAAGAGAGAATGGGGGTTGAGATGTAGCTTAGTGGTACAGTGTGTGCTTAGTATGCATGAGGCCTGGGGTTGTATCCCCAGCACCGCAAAAAAAAAAGGTAAGCCAGGTGTGGTGGCACACATCTGTAATCCCAGCTACTTGGAGGCTAAGGGGATCTTTGTTGGAGGCCAGCCTGGGCAAAAGTTAGACCCCCCCCTCTCAAAAACAAGCCATGTGTGGTAGCACACAGTTGCAGTCCCAGTTGTTCAGGAGGGGAAGTAGAAGTATCATGGTCAAAGGCCAGCCCAAGAAAAAGTGTGAAAGCCTATCTGAAAAATAAATTAAAAGCAAAAGAATAGGGAGCATGGCTGAAAAGGCTGGCAGAGTGGCTCAAGTGGTAGAGCGCCTGCCTAGCAAGCGTGAGGCCCTGAGTTCAAAACCCCAGTACTGCCAAAAACAAACACAAAGAGGGAGGGAGAGAGAATATGAGGGAGTTGGGCAGGGGAAGGGACTCAAGTGAAAAAAGACAAAGGTATCAGTGTCAATAAGCTGGTGTGTCTGCAAGCTGACATGAATCAAAGTTAGGATTCTGTCCTCTGAAGGAGATTGGGAGGACTGGTGGAGTGGCTCAAGTGGTAGAGTGCCTGCTTATTTGCAAGTGTGAGGCCCTGAATTCAAACCAAACCAAACCAAACCAAAAAAAAAAAAAACCTCCCCCAAACCAAGGAGACTGGAAGACTGAGGCCCTGTTTTTCCTGATGATTGCATTTCAAAGGACCTCTCAGGTCCTGGAGACAGATACAACTGGATTGTAGGAGATACACAGACATCTTAAAGAGATAGAGGAAGGATTCACAGTTGACAACCATTTTCAGTATCTGCTTCCGGAAAGGCCAGGGGCCCATGTCAAGTGTTGACAGTCAATTCTTTTTTACATCCCTGAGTGTTTACAGATAAGAACTGGGAAGGGGCCTGGAACATTTCAGGAATGCGACTGTAGGCTACTTGAAACCATGTTAAAGTTTGGTCACACTTCTTAGTGCAGGATTTGAATGTAGTGTTTGCACAGAGTTTTTTTGCAGTTCTCAGAAATTAAAAAGATTCAGAATCCACTCTTGCTTTGAGAAACATCTCACCTTCTAGTGGCCCTGGGTATGTGGACTAGATATGTATTTTCATTGCCATCTTTGAGTCTCACCTCCTTTTATACTGAGTTTCAAAGTGGCTGAGATAAGTTCCCTGCTGGGTCCCCAGCTACATGGCATCCAAGTTCAGCCCATATAGTGTGGTGAACAGGCAGTGGCTGAGCTGTCAGCAGCTGCACAAGACTCCAGGGACCTCTATTCTCCTGTATCCCTTTGGGGGTCTTGTGTTGCCCTGTCTGTAAGGATGAGGAGGGGGTCTTGGGGTGTGGTTGCTTAGGACTGGATCCCTTTCCGTTGCTAAGTTGCCCTACTGGGTCAGGCAGCTGTGGAAGGTGATGAAAGGGGGAGGGTTGGGTGGAGACTGGGAAATGCAGCTCAGCCAGCAGCAACCGGCTCGTGAGGCCTTGGGGTGTCTGGGTGCTGAGGGCAGGAGAGAAGCTCTCGGTACACATGCCTCAGCTGCTTGCTGGATGCCTTGGGATCTGGGGATGCTGGGAGCCAGCAACTAGGGAGAAAGCAGCACTGACAGGAAGTGACCTTTCCTCCTGTAGCAGATGGCCGAGGACAAGGCCTCCGTGAAAGCCCAGGTGACATCGTTGCTGGGGGAGCTCCAGGAGAGCCAGAGTCGCTTGGAGACTGCCACCAAGGAACTCCAGGCTTTGGAGGGCAGGTGAGTGGGGGTGGGGAAAGCTAGCCCTAGAGACCACTTCCAGGTTTTTTTCCAGTCCTGGTGTACTGGTGTTTGAACTCAGTGCTTTGCTCTGCTAGACAAGTACTCTACCACTTGAGCTATGCCCCCACTCTTTTTGCTTTAGGTTTTTTTTTTGTGATACTGGGGTTTGAACTGAGAGCCTTGTGCTTGTTAGACATGTGCTGTACCATTTGAGCCACACCTGCAGCCCAAGCTTTAGTTATTTTTCCAATATGGTCTCACATTTATGCCCAGGTTGGCTTGGATTGCTGTCCTGTAATTTATGCTTCCCACATAGCTTGGATGATGCACATACCACCATGCCCAGCTATTGATTGAGATGGGGTCTTATGAACTTTTTGTCTGGGCTGGCCTTGAACTGTGCAATCCTCCTGATTGGCTAGGATTACAGGCATGAGCCACCATGCCTTGAGTACTTCCAGGGCTTTGAATGAGGCAAACATAGACATCTTCAGGGTTTCCTTTATGAGAAGATGGATTGGCAGTCGCAGCATGAATACCTGGGGGCCTTCAAGGTTGGTTTGGGAGCGCTCTGGCTAGGCATCCAGTACCTCGGCCCCAGCTATTGCCTCTAGGCTCTCTAACCCTTTGCTGGAGTTTTGTATTATTTCCTTGGGAGGCATTTCAGGGGCCCCCAAGGCCACACCCAAGACCTCATCCTCTTGGCTGAGGTTTGTCATGGAATGGGCATGTGGTGGGATCCACCAGGGCAGGACTCCTGGGTGAAGACTGGAGAAGACTGCCTCAGTTCTGTCCCACGCCCTCTTTGAGGAGCACAGAGAACAATACTTCTCTATAGGCCATTTCTGCCCAGAAATACCTCACTCATTAGAGACTTAGCACTCTGTGTTTCTGTTGGGAATTGGTCACTTTGGCACCCTTTGCCAGGTATGTACCAAAATTCCCAATTCCTGGCAGAAAAGTAGGTGCTCGGTGTAGGCTGCATTATATGAATAGCCCTTGCAGGGGCCCAGGGCTGACCTTGCAAACTAGTGGCCTCAGGCCTGCTGGACACTGTCTTTTGCAAAGGGGTTTGGTTGCCATACAAGTGCAGTCATTGGGTAAAAGGGCAAGTTTGCGGTATGTCTCATAGTACCCTGCTGCTGCCCTCCAGACAGATGGGTGCAACTGAGAGGGTGGCTCCAGTCCTCCTAGTGCGGTAAGTGGTCAGGGTGTATGTGGGGTAGTCTTGAGGGCTTTTTTTCTGCAGAAGGGAGGGGAGTCTGACTTGGGCTCAGAGAAAGCTGGAGTGGGAGCAATGTGAGCAAAGGCAGGAGGGGAGAGGGGCTAGCAGCTCAGGCCTGCCTTGACAGGGTTGGAGTGGCCTGCAGCTGGAGACTACCTTAAGACCACATGGAAATCTCAACATTGCCCCCGCAGCAGGATCCATGGAAGGCATTACGGCAGCAGGATGATGAGGCTGGAACCTGGAAACTGGAGATTAAGGGAGCTGTGGGGCACTGTAGGTCCTGATCAGGAGATTTTGGAGCTGTGGGTTGATCGGGGTGACACAATCTGAACTTTTACAGTGAGAGGATGGAGGGAGGAATTCCCTGCCAAGGCCATGGATGTCATGTTGTATCTCACAAGTTCCTAGTACTCAGATGTGGGAATTGAGCCTCCAAGCAGGGTGTCTTGGACTCCAGCTGAGCTGTGAGCAGCAGCGGGCCTGAGATCAAATTGTAGTCCACCCTTAAGCTCACTGTTAGCAAGCCCAGGTGGTAAGTGTCCTTGCTGTTTCTAGAACAGTCTCTGTTGATACTCATCCATTGAGACTGCTCTTGCTAAGGCCCCAGCACCAACCCTGGGGGCTCTTCTCACCTGATCCCAGCATCTAGCTCAGGATGCAGGTGATCCATCCTCTTCTTGGTCTACCTCCTTCCCCTAGGGTCCAAGTCTCCTTGCCATCTGCACTTGGTTGTCTGCTGGGCCTTTGCACTGCAGCAAACCCATTTAAGGTGGCGCTCCTTATCTGCATCTTCCTTCCAACTGGTTCCTTCCTGTTTTCCCTGTCCTTGGTGGCCATGCCTCTACTCTGTCATCTGCAGTTAGCTTGCAGTCACAGGATGTTCAGAACCCGACCCCTTCCCTATGCTACACTACTTGTAACCCTCCCAGTGTGTTCTTTCTTCCCATGCCAGGGTGCGGGCAGCCAGCGAGCAGGCCAGGCAGCTGGAGAGCGAGCGGGAGGCACTGCAGCAGCAGCACAGTGTGCAGGTGGATCAGCTGCGCATGCAGAGCCAGAGCGTGGAGGCTGCCCTGCGCATGGAACGCCAGGCCGCCTCGGAGGAGAAGTGAGTTGATGGGAGGGAGGCCTTGAGGGACACCAGGAGGTCCACAGTGTTTTCAGCTTTCTGGGGAAACCTTGTGGGGACTGGCTGTGGGTGAGGGCTGACTTTCCTTTAATGTTGCTAATGGTAGAGATGATCATTATCAATATCCAAACCATCTTGGAGATAAGAATATTTTCTATGATCCAGTCCACATTCATAGTTAACCATGTGTCCTGCATGGGTTCTTTTCTCCCCTACTTATTTCAGGATACGTTATTCTCAAAACAGTTCACAACAGTAAGCTTTTGGACCATTCTGCCATTGTACAAGCTACAAATGCTTGCTCTGCAGCTGAGGGGTACTCTTCAGTAGCATGTTTGAAAAGTCACACATGTTCTTAACCTTCAATTGGCATCTGGTCCAGCATCCCAAATTCCTTTCCTTGGCATGTCTTTTGAGTCTCCTTTGATCTGGAATAGTTTCCTTGCCTCTATGGTTTTCATGAAATTGACATTTTTGAAAAGTACAGGACGGTTCCATGTTATTACAAACATTTTACTTATCTATTTTCTTTTTGGTGCTGGGGATGGAGCCAGTACCTCGTACATGCTAGGCATATGTTCTGCCACAGAGCTACTGAATGTGTGGCTTGAGTGGCAGAGTGCCTGCTTAGCAAGCAGAAGGCCCTAAGTTCAAACTCCGTTACTGCCAAAAAAAAAAAAAAAGTGAGAGAGGAAACTGATACAAACTACTTAGCAACCAAATCAGTTGTAGTAATTATTTATAGTCAGTAAAGACTCCTTCAGAGTTGATATATTCTTGGAAGCCCCCATTCCAGGTTTGATATGGGACAAGAAGGAAGAGGTAGATTTGGGTGTAGGAAAGCTGCGGCTGGGCTGGGATGAGGTGGTTTCTCTATTGGCAACTCCTTTTCATAGGCGGAAGCTGGCCCAGTTGCAGGTGGCTTATCACCAGCTTTTTCAAGAGTATGACAACCACATGAAGAGCAGCAAGGTGAGCGCCAGGCATAAGCGAGTGAGTATGGCCAGTTCCCGGGGACAGAGAAGAGCATGATCTGTGAGACTTGACAGAATTGGCTTTGGGGAGGGACATTCAACTTGCCCTAAACCTTCATAGGGCTGCAGCTGTGACAGTTCAGGGAAGACCACCAGGAGATTCGACACATCAACAGGGCACCCCCAGGGTGGGCTGGGCTGGGCCTCGGCATGCTCTTTCTACAAACTTGTCTCCATGGCATCCCCTCCTACTGGCCATCACCAGTGTAGCATCTGGCTCAAAGCCAGGGTCAGCCCTAGTAGTGTTTCTATGCCAGCACAGAAAGGCAGCTGGGAACTCTTTTCTAGTTTGGGTATAGATTCTAGTGATCACATTTTAAGAAGGACATTGTCAATCTTGGATGTGCCCAGAGGGGATTTATAAGGATTATTCTTAAAACTAGGTCACATGAGGAAGAGTTAGTTACAAAAATGGCCACTTAATCTCTGGAGGGAAGTCTTGGCCAGGGGCGGGGAGTAGAGAGAGAACATGAGAATGAATGAGAATGTTTACGTGGTATGAGTGGGTATCTGTGTGGGATGAACAGACCTTTGACCAGGTGGCAGAGTGGAAGGACCCCATCTGTTGCAGCTTAGCCATGCATGTGGTGGGTCTATAATCAGTGGATTATTAGTGCTTGGCACCCTCTCATAGTGGAATAGGCAGCCTTAGAAGGGAGGGTGGTCCCTGCCCTTGAAGGGTCAGGGGAGGGCTATCCAGCTGGTAATTCTTTGAAGGGAATGACTCCCAGCTGAGAGGCAGTGCGACATGACTCCAGAGGGTCCTTCAGTCTTCAGAAAAATCTCACCATTTCCTTTGCCCTCTGGGCCTTAACAGGATGCAGCCTTTTTCTCTGCATACATTGAGAACTTGTCATTGGCCCTGAAGTCCAAGGGGCTGGCATTGTCCCAGCTTTGATGAGCCAGGGGCCCCTTTTGTCCCTCTCAATTCTTACTCAGCAGTGGCCTGCCCCACAGGTGGCTTGGCCTTGCCTTGGGCTGTGAGGCTTTGTCAGCACCCTTTACCTATCTCTAGGGAATGCAGCTGGAGGACTTTAGGCAGCAGCTCCAACAGGCTGAGGAGGCCCTTGTGGCTAAGCAGGAAGTGATTGACAAGTTGAAGGAGGAGGCTGAGCAGCACAAGATTGTGATGGAGACCGTGCCAGTTCTGAAGGCTCAGGTGAGTTATCTCCTCAGGCCTGCATGAGTATGAACAGCCCGGCCAACCCTGGCATTGGGGCCTAACATACCTCTTTGGTAGCATTTTATGGTGGTCTCTCTTGGGCTTTCTGAGACCTTTGCACTGTTCCTTGACCTCTCAGTGCCCATGGGGTCACTTGCTGCCAAGAGATTCTGGAGGGCAGGACAGAGCTCTGCTTTATTCCCCTGGGGAATAGCATGGAATATCTGATGGGTGGTGGGCATTGTCCCTCTTTTGGATTTGCCAGGCGGATATCTACAAGGCAGACTTCCAGGCTGAGAGGCAGGCCCGGGAGAAGCTGGCTGAGAAGAAGGAGCTTCTGCAGGAACAGCTGGAGCAGCTGCAGCGGGAGTACAGCAAACTAAAGGCCAGCTGCCAGGAGTCAGCCAGGTGGGCCTCCAAGAGCATGACTTCACAGGAGTGGGTGGTGACATGTACTAAGTGCAGGAGACTGATGGCTCCTAGCTTTTGGGTTAGGTTCCCTGTCCCTCCCTTGCCTTTCCCCCTGCCCTGTCTTCCAACAACCTTTCCTGATGGTCCACCTAGGAGCTTCACAAAAGTGCATCATTGATCACATGGTTTCTGTTTTCAAAGGATTGAAGACATGAGGAAGCGTCATGTAGAGACCTCCCAGCCCCCTTTACCCCCTGCTCCAGGTAAGTGAGCGAGCATTAGGCTGCAGGGGTAGGTGGCTTGGAGGACAGGGTGCTACGCTGAAGGAAGGCATATGTTCACCTGCCCGCTGCTCTCAAGAGCCCTGATGGTGGCTCCTGATGTTGGGAGCTTGTGTTGGCCACCCCCGTCAGTATCCCACCCCAGCCCAAAGCTAAGGGAGGAATGCAGTGATAGTGGTGGCTCCTGGTCACACATAGGTGGTGACCCTTGTAGTCAAATATGGTGGTACCATTGGGTTTCAGCGCATTGTCAGCCTTCCCTTCCCTTCAGTTCCTACCTGGGTTGCGCACAAAGCTCACCCAGCTGGTGCCTGTTCTCTTTTCTCAGCTCACCACTCCTTTCACCTGGCCTTGCCCAACCAGAGGCGAAGCCCCCCTGAGGAGCCACCTGACTTCTGTTGTCCCAAATGCCAGTATCAGGCTCCTGATATGGACACTCTACAGATACACGTCATGGAATGCATTGAGTAGGGCCAGCCGCTGCAAGGCCGCCTGTGGATGCTATGCCCAGGGCAGTGCAATCTGTGTTTTCCTCTCCCACTTGCTTAGTCCAGAATTAAGGGCTTGGTGCCAAAGAGTGGGCCCCAGGAGCTAGCTGTAGGGCCCATGTTTCAGCCCTTTTGTCTGCTAGTCCACCTCTTTCAGGGTAGCTAGAGCTCCAGTCTGCTCTTTTCCTTCCCTTCTTTCTGCCTGAACCACTTACCCCTGGTGGTTAATCTCTTCCTCTTCTCCCATCCCCCGTGGGAATCTAGAATGAAGGCCAGGGTCTCTCAGGGAGAACTGCTTCCCCTAACTGAGCTGGGTCCAGCTCATCCTCCTTCTGACTTGCTTGCCCTGAGCTCCAGCCTCTTCACCCGGCCATGTGGTACTCTACTTTGTGGCTATACCATGGTATGTTTAGCCAGTGCCACTGATGGACATTTGGGTTGTTTCCAGTATTTTTGCTACCATAAGCAATGGTGCAGTAAAAATGCTTGTGCACTATGTATGTATGTATGTTTGTCTTTGGGACAGATGCTTAGAAGTGTCACTACAGTCTTGGCATGGAGGAGGTAGGTAGACCTTTGGGTTTCTTGCCATCTAGTAAGTATGCTTTTCTCTACTAAGAGTGAGCTTAAGCATCTTTCCTGTGGAGAACGGGCTCTCAATTCCTCTGCTGTGAATGGGGTGTTCATATTTCTTATCCATTTTTCTATTGGATCATTACCTTTTGTTCTTGGATTTTTAGGAGCTCCTTGGTCATTAGCAAGATTAGCTCTTGTCTGTGACAGAAAGCATACATATCTTTTCCCACTTCGGTCTTGCTACTACTGTTTTTGACCTTGAAGATATTTTATCTTTATGTAGTCACATTTATTCATTTTTTTAAACTTTCACTGCTTTGGGTTTGGAGTTGCAACCACTGTGGTCTACACTGTTCTTTAACACTGAAGTGTGCTTTTGCCTTTGCCATGTGTATTATTGTCCAGAGTGAATGGTGGTGGCCATGGCCCATCGCATTTCCCAAGTTGTGATGTCATGTCCTACACTAGCCCCAAATGCCCTGACCTTGCAAATGGAAGCCAGTTGGCAATGACTGACAGATTATGAACAAGGGGACTCTTTACTTGTTTTGCAAGATTCTGGACATTTTCTAGAACATGACAGCATGCATATTAACTCTGCAATTGTAGTAATGGAAATGAAGTTGAATGGCAACACGTATGCATCACTGACTTCTCAGGCCTGGAAACCACCTTCCTGCCATCCTCCAAGCCTCCCTGGTTATGAATGGGATGCTCTGAATCCATCCCCAGACTTTTTTATGTTGGGCTTCCTGCTGGTTGGCAATCAGAGGGCTAGAATTGGGGTAGAGGCCTTTTAAAAATAAGCCAGAATGATTTCTTCATCTCAAGAGCTTTATCTTCACTGCAAAGACATTTGTTCCAAGTAAGGTCATAGTCACAAGTTCTGGTGGTTTGGACCCGCACATATCTTTTTGCACCATTCATTCCAGTATGGGGCATCTTCAGAGCCCACAGAGGGCAAATGTAGCCTGAAGACAGATGCTTCTAAGACCTGCAGTTCTGCTAGAGGGACTTGGTCCACAGGGTGATGGTGCCTACCAGGCTGTAGAGTTTGGTGTAGGGCAGGTCCTTTCAGGTATGAGAACATCTTGCCTGCTGTGGGCCACTGCTGCTAGGACCAGTGGATGTGGGTGGGAGAGTCTGGTGGACTACAGTAGTCGTTGGACTACCTGCATCCTGGTTAGCAGCCACCAGCTGTGTAAGGTTGGGCTTCATGCTTCTCAGGAACATGATGGGCACACAGGTCCCCCTCTGACAAGCACCCTCTTCTGAAAGGGCCTTAGGAAGAAGGCAAGACGCAGGAGCAGTGCGAAGCAGTTGTTCTCCCAAGGAGAACTCTGCACAGCAAAGTCATCAGGAGTTTGAAAACACTCTGGTCTTGGCTCCCTGGACCAGTTGAGTCAGGACCTGGGGGTGGGCCCAGGCATTGGTTGGGACCCACTCTTGCTACATGCTTTCTCTAAAGCAGTATGAAGACCTAACCACACATTAGATACCACAGATTTTAAGCTCTACCACTTTCCTAGACATGGACATTCTGCTTTCTTTTCTGGGTGATTTTTCATTTTTGGCACTACTGGGGTTTGAATTCAGGGCCTTGTGCTTGGTAGGCAGGCATACTACCATTCCAGCCACTCCACCAGCCCTTTTTTCTGAATTTACTTAAGCTGGGCTTCTGGAACAACTGGTTGGATTCCTCTCATGAGGGAATCAGCCTGCCTGCCTTATTAGCTGTGGCTCCCGGACCCAGACAGAAGCATGTCCCCCTCTGGAATCCCTGCTCCCTGTTCATGCATGCTCCCCTCCTGGTGGTCAATGTCCAAGGGAAATCCAGAGGTCAAAAAGCACAGTATGAAAGGATTTTATATGCACTAGTAACTAAAACTGTACATGCAAATGGTAAGCAGAAGTGACATCAAAACGCCAACCAACACAGCCCTATGTATGGTGCCCTGCTGGTAAGGTGTGGGCACAGGCCTTGCAATGTCATCCCTTCTGAGGGAGCTGTTTGGTGAGATGAGGCAAGCACTTGAGAAGCATCCTCAGTCCTCTTTACCCTGGGACATTTGGCTACTCACACTGACACCATCTGTCACCGTCAGAGGCTGTGGTGAAATAAGAGGCTGTTTATCTGATGACATAGCCCTGCACAGCTAGCATTTTGAACATCTTCTTTTTTGGGGATGGGGGCAGTACTGGGGATTGAACTCAGGGCCTTGAGCTTGCTAGGCAGGCACCCTACCATGCCCCCCGTTTCGAACATCTTGTTACATGGAACACACTCTTCAGTATGTTGGTGTCAAAAGGCCAGGGGACAAAATTATGTATAAAGTATGAAATAAAAGAAAATCTGCAAGTGTGTATACTGATATCATTTGGATGGATGTGGTGGTGGGATTACCAGTAATGAAAAGGTTTTCTTTTGTATTTATATATTTCCTGTATGCCCATAATTTGCATGTATTATTTTGATACATAGACAATACATGTTAGTGCAAGTTACATGCAGCTCTGAGGGTTCCTCTGTGCTAGTGGTTGAGGAGAGCTCATTGCTGATACCACTGTTTGTCAACTCAAGCACTGTTTGGCACAGGGAACAGCTCAACATTTCCATGGGGCTTGCATTTCCTGTGGCTGGTGCAGCAAAATACCACACAATGGGGGTTGAAACAACAGACATTTATTGTCCCTCAGTTCTGCAGGATAGGGGTCTGAGATCAAGGTGTGGGAAGGGCAGGGTGGGTTCCTTCTGAGGGTCATGAAGGAGAACCTGCTTCAGACCCCTCTCCTAGCATTTGGTGGCTTCTGGCAATCCTTGGCAGGCAGCTGTATTGCTCCAGTCTCTGCATCTCTCATCACATGGACTTCTCCCTGTGTATCTGTGTCTCCTCTCTCTTTATAGGGACACTAGTTCCAGACAAAGGCAGATATTTGTTAAAGCTGTGAGAACAGATTTTGTTCAGTAACTACTGATAATAGGTGAAAACTGAGCTCTAAAGGGAGACAGGCCAGAGCACCCGAGGGCCCTGAGCATGGAGCTCAGCCAACGAGATGGATGGTCGCTGGCTATAGAGGGAGGGAGGACGAAGAATCAGGGATGACTCCTGGGCTTTTGCTTTAAGCACCCGAGTCCACTGGGCCACCTACCACGATGAGGACTGGAGTTTTGGGAAGGATGGTCCAGTTCTGGTTTGGCCAAGCTCAGTGTGAGATGTCCTCTGAATCCCTTCATCTTTTGCCTGGACTATTATGGGGACCTCTTTACTGGTTTCACATGAGACTACAGGCTGTCTGTAATCCATTCCTTACATGGAAATCAGTGTGATCTGGTAACCTGTTTCTACTTTGCTTTACCGCTTGAGGCAACTTCTGGGCTGTTTTGCTCTGGTTATTTTTGGAGATAGGGTTTTCATGAATTATTTGCCTGGGCTGGCCTTGAAATGTGATCCTCCCCATCTCAGCCTCCCAAGTACCTAGGATTACAGGCATGAGCCACCATTGTCTGGCTATGGTTTCTGCTACTCTAGAGACCTAAACTCCATCCCTATCCTTGTGCTGTTCTGATCTCATTTCATGTTCCTTCCCTGCTGGCCCAGCCATACCTCACTGGCCTTTTTTCCCTTCCTCAAATATGCAGCACTTCTGTTTAAGGCCTCTATAACCCTGTTGTCCTCTTTGTTGGGAAGTTTGTGTCTCCTAATCTTTGCATGGCTGACTTCTTTTCATCATTCAGCTGTAAGTGTAAACGTCACCTCCCTCCTCTGAAGTCTTCACCCTAAATTGTATTACCGTTTTAATTCCCTGCATGGCGTTTTGTTTTATTTTGTTTTTTTCTCTCTCCCTCCACTAGAGGGAGAGCAGAAACCTTATCCATCCTAGTTGGAGAGAATTCCCCTACAATACTGCTCAGTGCATATTTACTGATAGCATGAGCTTGTCTCCAAGCACAGGCAGGAATCCTCTTGTCAGTACTTTTCATACATCACCCTGTCACCCACCATAAATGGTGATTGGTAGAAGTGATAACACTGAAAACGTATTTTAGGGACTGTGGTGACTAACTTGGGGATCTTCTAAGCATTTTTTAATGTGTTCAGAATTTGGATGGGTAGCCAGGCATAGTGGTTCATGCCTAGAATCCCAGCACTCAGGACATGAAGGCTGTAACAGGCAAGTTTGAAGCCAACCTGGGCTACATATCGAGTTCTAGGCCAGTCTTGGTTACATAGTGAAACTCGTCTCAAAAAAAAAAAAAAAAGGAATTTGGATGGGTAGATTGTGTTTGTTTTATAATATACAGGCAAGAACACAGACTCTGAGGTCACATGAACAAGTCCTTCTCTGCCCCTTAAATTTCTCTGAGCCTTTGTTTCCTTATATGTAAAATGGGCAGAATCCTGCGTCTGTGTTGCAAAGTTACTGATGAGATGATGTGTATAATGCACCTCTGACTCAAAGAAGGGAAAACTGTAAAAGCAATATCAGTTTAGACTGTGCCAAAGCTGGATTTTCTATGATTACTCTAATGGTTTAAAGTGTTGTGTAAAGAAAGGCAATTGTAATGCCCCACCACTGATGAATGGATTAAGAAAATGAGGTATCTATACACAATGGAATTTTATGCAGCCATGAAGAAGAATGAAATGTTATCATTCGCTGGTAAATGGATGGAACTGGAGAACATCATTCTGAGCGAGGTTAGCCTGGCCCAAAAGACCAAAAATCGTATGTTCTCCCTCATATGCAGACATTAGATAAAGGGCAAACACAACAAGGGGATTGGACTTTGATCACATGATAAAAGCGAGAGCACACAAAGGAGGGGTGAGGATAGGTAAAACACCTAAAAAATTAGCTAGCATTTGTTGCCCTTAACGCAGAGAAACTAAAGCAGATACCTTAAAAGCAACTGAGGCCAATAGGAAAAGGGGACCAGGAACTAGAGAAAAGGTTAGATCAAAAAGAATTAACCTAGAAGGTAACACACACGCACAGGAAATTAATGTGAGTCAACTCCCTGTATAGCTATCCTTATCTCAACCAGCAAAAACCCTTGTTCCTTCCTATTATTGCTTATACTCTCTCTACAACAAAATTAGAGATAAGGGCAAAATAGTTTCTGCTGGGTATTGAGGGGGTGGGGGGGAGGGAGGGGGCGGAGTGGGTGGTAAGGGAGGGGGTGGGGGCAGGGGGGAGAAATGACCCAAGCCTTGTATGCACATATGAATAATAAAACAATAAAAAAAGAAAGGCAATTGTAACTGGGTATGTTGGTGTACACCTGCTTCAGGAGGCTGAAGCAGGAGGATCATGAGTTTGAGGCCAGTCTGGGCTACACAGCAAGACTGTCTTAAAACAAAGTCAATTGGTGATTACCTAGGGTTGGAGGAGAAGTTGGGGGGAAGGGAGTGACTGCTAACAGGCACTGGGTTTCTTTTTAGTGTGATGAGAATATTCTGAAGGTCATGGTGATGTTTGCACTTGTTTATGAATATGCTCCAACTCATTGTATGTAAATTGCATAGTATGTGGATTAAGCCTCAATAAAGCTGGTATTAAAATACTATCTAAGCCCTGTGCAGCTTCATATATAGGTTTCTATGAAAATGCAAGTGAACACACAGAAATGGAGGGGGGGGATAAAGGAGAGTGATGGAGGGGGTGAATTCAACTATGATATATTGTAAGCACTTTTGTAAATGTCACACTGTACCCCCAGCACAGCAATAATAAAAAATAAAAAATTAAGATACAGAAAAAGATGAACATTTACATCTCCCAAAGCTAGGTTTGATAAGTGACTTATTGATGGGCTCCTGATGCTGTTTCACTAACTCGAAGGCTAGAAGAATTGGAGGTCAAGAGTAGATGACTAACTTTGTCTCATGAAGCAGAGTGCTTTCCCCAGAGACCCAGGGTTAGGATCAACCAGAAGACTAGCAGTTGCTCCTTTACCAGACTGAGGCTTCTTTCACCATGGTCATGCAGAGGCATATGCCTGGAGGGGTGGGCAACTGATGGGTGCCACTGCATTCCCAGATTAACAGAACTGGGTAGACAAGTGTGATAGGTTCTGGCCAGTGAGGAAGAACAGAGACCTAGGAATAGCGGCTTTTCTAGAATTGCATTGCTTCTGAGTATTCCAAGCTTAGGAGTGGGGACGGGATTTGAGTTCTCAGTGTGGCGGAGCTTTGGTAGACATATACCTGCTATATCTAGAAATAAGGCTTCTCCCTGGGGGGGGGGTGGCAGTCAAGATTAAGGATTGCTAAAAAGCATTGCAGAACAAGCTGTACACAGAAACCAACCAACCAACAAAACAAAAAACTAAGTACATAATGAAGTGTACTCAAGGTGCCCAGGAGCAGGAAAGGTTCCATGAGATAAAGACTTCAGATGCTGGAGCCCTTAGACATTGATGACAGGACAACTGAACCTAAAAAGTTCAAACCAAAAAAGTTTTGAAATACCTGCAAGGAATAGGAAATTATAGAAGGTTACTCATATCCAAGAAGTAAAGGATGTGTAACTTTAAATCTGAATTTGAAATATCGGCATGAATTTGATTTATTTTTCTCTTTTCAAAAAGTACACATTTCCTTCATCTCCTGAAATGGCCTTGAAGCAATGGTAACCTAGTAACAGGTGGCACCAAGTCTGTGCTCTCAAAATGGTCCCATTGAAGGGAATCATAGCTCCCTAGAGAAATGACTTGTTTCAAGTATGAGGCGGGAGGTGCTCAAAGTAAGCCTAGACACCATCTTATTAAAAGAAAAGAAAACTATCAAAGACCATGGGTTTTGTCAGGATGACACATCTGTCCACTAAAGTTGCCGCTGGATAAGAGTATAGGAGGAATAATGGCTTTTCCTGCCAGTTTCCCTGCTGGTCTTCTCTCCTGCCTCCATCCCTTGCTCCTGTCCTTTTCTTTTTCCAAGAAAAAGAAAAGTGTCTGGGGATCTCAGGTGAGGGCAATGGCACTCTGGAGAGAGTTGGGCCAGTATAAAGAATGATCCCCACTGAGCACAGCAGTATCCTTTACCAGAAAGACACACTCAGTGAGGGTGACAGTGTCTTGGGAGGGGTTGAGGGCCTAACAAGGAAGGTGTGCCAAATTGGGTGCTGGCCTGATGGGCTCAAAAGATTGGCTGGACCAGGTGTGGTGGTATTGGATTGGATTTGAAGTTATTGGTGTAAACTCCTAATTTTCAATCTACTGAGAGGTACAGAAATTAATGTAGGTGTGTGCACACATGTGCCCCCAGCTCTGCCACTGAGAAGGCCTGGGGTCAGTGGGTGTCTCAACATAGTGAACACACCTGGCACCTGGACCTTGATTTATTTCTAATCCACTTCTAGAGAATGTAAGCATCTAGGGCAGATGTGTCTGTATGTATTATTCTCTGCTCTATTCCCAGTGCCTAGAACAGTTGCTGGGATCTAGGAGATGCTTAGTAAATATTTGTGTGAATGAAAGTTTCAGAATGGGTCATAATGTTACAGTGGGCTGAGATCAGTCACCACTTCACAGAGGAAAAATAAGGAAGTGCTTAAGGAATACTGGGGATACATTCAGTTGGACCAAGAAAAAAAAGAAAGAGAACTCAAATTACTAAAGTCAGAAATGAAAGTAGGCACATTACAACTACCATCTTTACAGAAATATCAAGTATGCATGCAAACCTGGGGCTATGTTTGACCTCCTTTATTTCCCTATCCTCCTTTACCTCCTAATAAATCAAGAATTGTGAGCAAGAGTTTGTGAACACTTTGCAAAGGGTTCTACTGTGCCATTGTAGCTATATTACAGAAATATTTTTATTTACTGCAAAGTCTGTTGTGGTTGGTTTTTAAGAAATGGTGAGGGGGATTCCAAGATGGTGACTAGAGGGAGGAAGCAGAAAGCATGCCTCCTAAAGTAAAATCTTGGAGAGACGCTGGTGATACACCTTACAGGAAAAACCACTGAGAACAGGCAAAACTTTGACTCCTCCACACCCCCAGCCTGCACATAGCATTCCCACTCCATGTTAAACGGAGAAACAAGGAGGGCTCCTGTGCTGCCAGATGCCAGCGCCCAGACCGCTGGGGAAGACGCAACCACAAGGTGAGCTAAGTGGCATGCGGTACTCCCACAGACAACCCTGGGCAAGATCAGCATAGCCCCCTTGGACAGACTGACCCCCACCCAGGGAAAAAATAAAAAACACCCTGAGTAATAAGCAACAACAAAAAAGACATGTAGCAAAGAGGGCAGGGCTCCCTGAGCACCGAAGAGGTGGGGAGGGCCAATCCCCCACAGAACTGTAAATAAACAAGCCAGCCAGAGAAGGCAGGAGTGGCAGCACATACCCAGCAACCAGGAGTCGGAAAGCTTGTAAAAGTGGCGGTGGGAGGAAAACTCCACAGGAGAGGGGGGAAGACCCACTTTCCACGTGAACTGTAAACAAACACGCAGGCCTGAGAAAGCAGGTGCAGTGTCACCTCCCCCAGTGTGCTTGGAAAGGGGAAAGCTAGTACACGCCCAGGAGAACTCTAAATAATCAAAGCCTGAGGGGCTAGGTGAGTGTTAAGCTCACTCCTGAGATCTGCATAAAGCATGCAGCAACAGCTGGCTGACAGCAGCAGGCAGGTGAGCCACAGCCTCAGATAGACATTCACAAAGCTGTATCCAGACTCCTTTATTTTTCTCTCTTCCTTTTATGAGACAAAAACCGAACTACACCTTCATGCTAAAAAACGTACTGAAACTGTATTGCATTTGAACTTGGGACACTTTGTGGTGTTTTGTTTCTTTGTTTTTTTTTTTTTCCCTTTGATGAGACAACGACAGAACTACGTCTGAGACACCATCTCCAGGATTGGAGGCTGACAGACTAACACCAAAATTATTAAGACTGAAACTGTATTGCATTTGAACTTGGGACACTTTGTGGTGTTTTTATTTTTATTTATTTATTTTTTTAGGGTAGAACCTAGCATTTATTTAGATCTTCATTAAACTGTTGGAATTGAGAACCAGACATATGTAATAAACCTCCAAAAATAGATCCTGAAAGGCACTTTCTGCTTAGGGCAAGCAGTCATGGAGTAAGCATGTAAACGAGCTGGCTTCTCTGTACCACACCAGCCAAGTCAGCTTTCTCCATGGCCAGCTGCACCAGCTCTGCCCTCCTTCTGATTAAAACACCAGCCAGACCCCCTGTAGGTCTAACCCAAGGTTTTTCTGTAGGACACCTTGGCCTACCTGGGAATGCTGGAAACATGTTAAAGGAATCATGGTGTTGAGGAAAGAAAATCTTTTAAAAGCTGCCATCTGAGGTGATGGCTTCTCTGTACTTACGCCATACCTCAGAATACAATAAATAAGCAATTAGAAAATGTTCAAGTATGAAGGGATTTCCTCCTCCCCGCCAAAAGCACTGCTCTCTGAAGGAAGCTGGTTTCTCTGTAGCTACACCAGCTGTTCAGAAAGCTCATTGGACCTGGTTTTGAAAATAAAACAAAGTTAAAACCCTGGGAGGAGTTACTGTGCAGTGTGGAGTACTCAGTCTTTCTTATAAAGAAAAAAAAAGTTATCTGGTACCAAAGTGTGCAACCTACAGACCCTCAGGTACTGCCCTGTAACTTCTCTGTATGACATCACAAGGGTGCCAAGTGCCTGTTTTTTTCTGGAATAGGAGTTGGTGAGGTTTGGCTAGTGCGGAAACCACGCATAGGATTGGTTTACTAAATAAAAACCTTATTATGTACGTCCTCCAAGACAGCTGAAAATGGAGATATTTTGTTTTGGTGCTGTTAAAGAGGTGGCAATTAAGAGCATAAGCACCAGGGAGATGATTTAATGGTAACTGCCTTTTTTTTTTTTAAATGTCAGGCTAGAGCTCCAACTGGAACTTGCATTACATGCAAGACTGATTGGATAGGGAACACTCCCCTGACAAAGAGCTACATAATTAGAAATGGATCAAGTTACAGGAACTATAAGGGGAGGGCTTCACATTCATATAAGAGCTCAAGACATTACAAATTCATGCTGCCAGGGCTGTGGCATTGCCAGACAGAGGCTATAGTGGAACTACAAGTACTTTATGTGCACATTACAAGGACATTTTCAGCATTTGGTGGGAAAGTAAATGCAATAAGGACTTTTGGAGGGCTGGGTGATAGGGCACAAAGGTTCAATTTCAAAGCATTATTTACTAGTGTTGTTTGTTCTAGGCAGTTACATGGATCACCTATGCTCACTAAATTCATTAATGGTGAACAAAACACCTAGGGACAGAATAGCAAGCCCAACTTACAGTCCCCACAAAAGCTAAAATTCATGTCATTGACTAGAGTGACTGCAACTGATCAGGAGCTGAAAGAGGACAGGAAAATTTAGGAAGAAGGGCCCTTTCCTCAGAGCTTGAAGGCTTCTCTGTAGCCTACGCCAACAAGTCTGGGGAAAAAAGGCTAACACTTTCAATATTTAAGCTTTTTGGGCACTTCCCATGGGAAGCTGTCCCTACAAAGTGGCCATAGGCTGCAGTCCTCTGATAAATTGGCTTCTTCAGATCCAGATCCCTGGAATATATAAGTCGTAACTTAATATGTAGTATTCAATTAAAATAAAGCAAAACAATCAGCAACTCATTTTCAAGAGCTCTGGCAAATGAGTTCAGTTCTGAGGTATGCTAGGAAAAAAGTTCATGGCAAAAGTATGTTACTCCCTGGCGTCCAAACTCCTTGCACAGTCCTTATTAGTAACTATAGTTCTTGTTTTTCCGGCCCTGGCTCAACAAATACGAAAACTTGTCATTACCCTGAAGAATTCCAGTTGTCAGAAAAACTTAGATCTAAATCACAGAATACTTACCAAGGTCCCATTGCCCACTATGATTATTTTCTTTGTAACAATCTTGAAGATCCCACCATATTAAATTTCTTAATGTGAACACCCTTAAGTAAAATGAGCACAAAGCCCAGTGTCAAACACAGAAGACTTTCTAGGGTGCTTAGTCTAAGCCATGGAACACCGTAACTTTATATATTTCTCACTAACCTCCCCTGAAGGCAATTTAAAACACTGTAGTTCTAGGAATTAAAATGTTTTCCCACTTGAGGATCTACCTTCACCTCCTCAAAGCAGTGTACATATACATATTCAGACCCACCCTCTATTTCTCACTAGCATAGGCTTACATCTTTACCTGACAATGACCCCCGGGCGAAAGATCAAATTCTTCTCACAATCTCTAATAGCTCTCTCTCACTCTTCTGAGAGGTACCATAATGGAAATGGAGATAGATAATGGATGAGAAACTCCAATAGCATAAGAGAC